TCTACTTATTCCTGCTCTTTTGTGGACTAAGTTTCCAAAATCAAATAGGCTGCTAAACTGAATTACCAGTGTTTCTAATGCAGATTTCACAAACTCCAAACATCAACCTGCCGTGCTACCAAAACACACACAAAAAAACACCAATACCGAGCCATCTTTAACAATCAAAACCCATGTTGAAAATTAAGCCGAAAAATATTGTGGAAACAATAGGCCTTAGCTTCCTCCCCTACACTGTGAAAGGATGCAGGATTCCTCGCATTTATTCCTCAACCAATACAAACGACGTAAACACACAAATTAATCAGCAAATCCCGAAACACACACAGCACACTCGGTTGCCAATAAAACTCCTCCGAATTGGAGCAGATTTTCGCAGGAAGCAGAGGCAGGGAAATACCTATTGGATTTCCTGGTCCCTTGGTCCGCGAGACGGGTTGAATGCTTGGCAGACACAACGGACGGGGCACCAGACGATTGGTACAGGTTCTTGTGTGTTTCTCTCTCTCTCTCTTTCTCTCTCTCTCTCTCTCTCTCTCTCTCTGAGCTTTGTGCCAAGAATGGGCAGTGTCTGTGTGCCAGGCAGAATTTCAATGAGGGAGGAAGGAGGTGGTGATGGTGGGCAAGAAGGGGGGAGGAGCGGTGGGGGGCGCTGGAGTTGGCAGAGGAAGTATGCCACACAATAAATGGCAGGATGAAGAATTCCCACAGTTACAAAGATGCGAACGGATGTCTTGTCTTACTCGTGTCCAGTCTTAATCGAGAGAGAAATTGTGTCCAGGCATCTGGCAGATACGAGAAAGAGGGCTGATCCTCAATAGAGTGTTATGGTGATTTTATCATACCTGCTTTTTCATCTTCCCCACTCCCTAAGGAATTGCCTGATTCCAAAATTAAAGGACGAAGGACGGGAGCGCTGAGCCTCTTCCGTGCCCAGTTGGCATGGTGCCCGCTCTGATGTTCTCGTATATCCTCATTAACCAAGCGCAAACACACAAGGCTCATGCTCACATGTATACAGAAATGCGCTGCCATATGCATGTACTCACGCACGACCACACAACATAACACAGTTGCTTGACCCGTGTATGTGAAAGAAGCTCCTCCTATCTGATACTGATCATTTACTAAATCTTAATTAAATGAAAATCCTTCCAGTCCTTTGCCATCATCTCGCTGTTTTGCAAGATAGAGGGCTGCATACTCCAAGTTGAAAGTTGAAAAATCAGTATTAAAAGGTATCAGGGCGCACACTCCTTCCACTTTTATAATTCTCCTTTAGCATCTCGGGTAAGATTGTCAAAACATAACAAATGTATTTGTAAATATGTATATAAATTGAGAAAAGAGGACAATTTCTGAATCCCTGGTGTCTTACAGCGCTAAAGAGTACCCTCCAACTACCCAGGTGGCCAGATGTGTCTCTAAAACCTCTGAGTGAAGAAAATATACGTCAGAGGTTTCTGTCCTCCTCTTCATTTACTCTCTCTCTCCCCTCTCCTCTTTTCCACTTGTCTATGCTTTTGCTAATGTGCTGATGAGATATGTGGTTACCATGGTTTCAAATGTTTCTGATAGCTCAGATGCCTGGCCTGGCATGTTGCTACACGCCCACATGTTACAGCATTCACTAATGGCACACAGAGGAGCCGATACACACGCATGCGCATGCACATACATACATATACACAAACACACTTTGAAAGGTATGCCCTTTCAAAGGGGCTGTGCATGCATATTTTGGTGCCTGTATACAAAGGGTATGCGTGCAAGAGTGCAAAATGGTGTATGTCAGGATGAAACAGCTGCAGCTTCCTGCATGAGAAGAGAAACTTCCTGTTGCCTCGCTGCAAACCGCGGCCGGTCAGCCAAGATATCAGCCAATCAGCTATATTGAGGCTGAACGCAGGAAGTTAGCCTGACTGCCTCTAGGAGAAAAACTCAGAAACATTATGAGGCAACACGATAAGTTCATCCGAGGATAAGAGAGGGGCGGGGAAAGAGCTCTCCCACTCCTAGCTCTCTTTCTGTCTCTGTAACCCTTGTTCTCTCTCTTTTTCTCGAGATTTTTCTTTCTTAACATTTTCCTCACGTCGCTGTCATGTGTCAATATACATAAAAAGAGGTTCTTTCGGTTCTTTTTCATGAATTTATCTGCCACCTAATGCCACAGCTGAACATTTTAAAATGACAGAGGCTGATGTAGAGGAATTAGGAGTAGTGTACCAACAAATAGTGAGGGGTGTGTTGAAAGGGTCTGCCCATATTCACTGTTTCTTAAACACGTGGCACGAAGGCGCCATCTTGACACCAACCCGTATTTAGATCAAGATACAGTACTGACATTAAGCAGTCCAGTTAGATCCCATATTGTACATAGAATATTCAGATATTTCATATAATTCAAGCGTGTTCAATTTCTCCTCTAAAAGTAGCTTGAAAGATCAAATCGGTTGTTGATTAATTTAGATATCCTGTTTTATGCAATTCGGAGGGTGAAACAATATTTCGCTTATGTTTCAGGGCATTTTGGCCTCTGACATGAGACTGTAATGAAAATATGCAGTGTGATATGAATGATAGGCTTGTTTTCTTGCAGCTGAGTAAGATAGACATCAATAAGACAAATGCTACTGTCACATTTCCATTCTTTTGAAACGGAAAGGTCACACGGGTAAAAAAAAATCAACAGCTTTACTGATAAAATAAGAAAGAACTACCGGATAAGAAGACCAACATTAAACTGCATTTTTTGCTCAGCAACCTTCCCTTTTCTTTACAGTGTTGTCTGTTTGTCTGAAACTCAGTTTCATTTCTGCCACAGTTTCCTCTGAAGTGCAAAGTATCAAACACAGTAACCTATGACGCAGTGTGTCAAGACAAACATTAAAATTGCCACCTTTTAAAAACTGTCACACCTCTAGATCGCATAAAGATAAAACTCACCCCCATACACGTTTGTGTGAAATAACTGCCACATATCTGAGTTTCCACAGTGGCAGAGAGCGCAAACAGTGTATGAAGGTAATGAAAAACAAAGTAAATATTGCCCTCGTATTAGCTTTTATACCGGCTCTTGATGATAAGAAACCTGCCAGTGTCTCACTTGTCCTGTGGGTGCAGCTCCTCAACACTGGTCAGCGGTTAAACTTGTACTGACCTGAACACAACAACGGCTCTCTGGCTCAGTCAACCCTCTGAGGTCAGAAAGTAACCAAGAAGGCCTGCCCTTCCTCCTGCCAGTCTACAAAGAGACACCTGTTTAGTATGGAAAGCCACAGAAAGACGGTTCACCACCCTGTCAGAATCTGCTGTCCTAGAGCAGAGAGGGGAGAGGAAGAAGGGGACAGGGGCAGAGAAAAAAGAGATCATGGAAGCAGGAGAAAGACGATGGTCAGCAGGAAGTCAAGGAGTCCCTCTGAGCTCTAGAAAAGTTTCTCCTGTTGTGCCCATTGAGCCAAAATGGCGGCGAGCGGAGTACAGCGTGGCAACCGACGACGATAGACACATTTACAGGAGGAAGACCATGATGAAGGACAGAGAAGAGGGCGAGAGGAACTGGAGGAGAAAGATTTTAGGGCAGTGAAAAAGACGGGAAGAGGTGTCGCAGGATAAAAAAGAAAAATACCTGGAGCCTGTACGTGAGCGGCGGGCTGGGCCGGAGGACTGGAGGAGAAGAGGGCCGTGATGGCGGGAAGAAGGGAAAAGAGAGGAGTAGAGCACACCCTCTGAGAGCTACACCCCCTTCCCACAATCCCCTCCTACTGGCGTGAGTGCGTCTGTCCGTACACAGGGTGACACAGGGACGTCTGCTCGCACACAGCCCTATAACACACACACAAAACGCACACAAGCCACGGTATCAAACACACTGCACAACAAAAAGAGAAAAGCTCCATAACAGACTCACAATAGACTCACATTACTTGCAGTTGCGTATGACCAAAGCGGAGACAAACAGACAATCAGACAGACGGACAGAGGACACTTCAAAACACAAACATACACATAATCAATTCGCCAGCCTTTGGATCGCCCTCTGCTCTGCCCTGTGCTGTGTTTGCCTCGGTTCGCCTGCCCACTTTGGCACTGCTGCCAAGAGGGAAGGGGAGAAAAGGGAGGGGAGGGAGGGGGGTGTAGAGACACAGAAAGAGGAAGGGAGGGACATGCTGTAGCGAGAGAGGGCGAACAGAAAGAGGAGGGGTCAGAGAAAAAGAGTTAAGAAAGAGAGTGAGACACAGAAAGACAGGAAAAAGAAAGAGAAGCGTAAACTGTCGTAAGCAGACAGTGACACAAAGCAGTGGGACAGCAGCTGGAAGAATGCTGAGAATTTGTATGTTAATCATCTAACATCCAAAACACACCTCTCACCTTGTACTGTACTTATATACTATCCTGCAGCAACAGACAGATGGCGAAAGAGACAAGCAAATCCCGACACTTCTGCCATATTGTTCCACCTCACTATTTTAACTATAGATCAAAACTGGCTTGAGATTCGAACTCTAAACGGCTGGACATAAAGTCAAGTTCTTTTAAGTCCAGGGAGGGTTACTGTCTTTTTCGACATCTTTATTCTGCCTGCTTTTCTCTCTCGTCTCCCTTTATCCTTCCGTAAATTTGTCCTCTCCCTCCATCGGGGATAATATCTGCCCTCCTAAGTGGGAGGGGTTTGAGGGAGTTCAGCTAAATGAATCAATGAGCGAGGAGGGTGGATATTTCAGAGAATGTCACTTTTTTTTCCTCCACAGTCTTTGGCATCTTTCCCAGGTCTCCCTTTGCTTTCTCACACCAGCAGGACAGTTGAACACCAATGCAGATCTTGGATCAGTGAGCTGTCGCCTCTAGATGACCTCAATCATTAGGAGAGAGAACATAAATCCATCTGTTCATAAATGTCGGACCTTCTTCTACAGCCTGCGTGTGGACCAATCGCTGGCATTTGAGCGGGTATCCCGAGCCGAGCCAACCAATCAGAGGTCACTTCTGAGCTGACATCATTTTGAAATGTGTGTAATTTTAAAAAACTGTAATACTTCTTATCATTAAATTGCAAACAAATACTTCTTTCTCTCATTTTAAAACTCACACCAACCACTTGAAGATAAAAAACAAAGCTTGTTGTGTCTTTTGTAGGTGACACAGTTACCTCCAGCTGCTGTAATACCTGAGTTACTGAGTCCCCAAACTGCCCAAACACACACTCACACACAGGAGGGTTCTCCCAATCCTCTAACACTCACCGCGAAGACAAAACAGACCACAATAGTCCAGCTTCTCTGCTTAAACTCCACATGAGTCTTTTCTTGAAGATAGGACAATGGACACACACACATTCATACTGTACACAGGCGCACACACACACACACACGTGGTGCGAACAATCCGGTTCTTCCATGGAGGCTCAGATTCAGCCAGCAGGTTGGACAGCCCCTCAACCTGACGTCACGTCTCCTTTGTTGTTTATGCATTTATTTCTCTCCTCAGCTGAACTCTCTGAACCCAAAGTACCCCCCCACCCCCACCCAGCCACCCCTCCCGTCCTGTCCTCCAGCCTTACACTTACCCCCTGCCAATGAAGGCGGGCAAATACAGTATGGCTTTAACAAGGAATAAGAAAAGAAAGAGAGACAGACAGACACAGAGAGAAGAGAGACAGTGAGACGGAAAGAAAGGAGCTTAGATGTCTCTCTCACTTTTTCTTTTCCTCCTTTTCTTCTTCGATCGCTCCCTGTGTCTCTTCCTGCTTGGCTTGTAAAAGTTTCAGCTGCATGGCGGGCCGGCCTCTTTTGGCAGCCGTCCAACTCTTGACTCTCCTGTCCCCTTGCAAGAGAGAGAGAAGGAGGGGAGGACAAATATAGTCACAGCTAGACTGTACTGTACAGAGGCTGATGTACTCTGAATGCACAGCGGCCGTTTTTTATTTCATACTAACACGCGCACACAGGAAGAGAGCGGTTTGTGACATTCCTTCACCATTTCTAACATGCAACAGTGAAGCATTATAGAGCAGATCTCGTGTCAAATGCAAGCTAATCATTGCAGGAAACACCATGCAGAGTTTCAAAAGGCTGCCTGTGCCACAGTTGTGATGTTAGTCTGCCTTTAACTGAGTGTGACAGCTGAATCTGATAACAGTGTGTTACACCCAGTTCACACAGGGACACTCTCACTTTGTTATTTCTCCTGGTATTAATAATATTGGCAGCTCCGTTGCTTGTATGTGCAGATAGACGTACACATGCACAGGAGAACATTTAAAAAGGCAAATATTGACATTATTTAAAAATCATAAAGCTAAGCAGGCCTTCTGTTTCACTGCATAGGTACACACACAAGTGCACACACATACTGACGATCATTGTTACTTATTTACTTACCTCAGCTTGGTGCACAGGGGTTTTAACACTGTATTGTTGCAGCAGTTTATCAAAAAAAGTAGCCTAAATCATTTTGTAATTATTGTCTATAAACTGAAGTTTTAATTCCCTTATTATGCTCTGTTAATGAGCCTAATTACACTAATTAATTAAACTACCTTTTGTTTGAAGACGTTTCCACAGCTGTTTCTCATCACATTTCTTAGACATTCTGACATAACTGTTGCAGGCCATCAGCAAATATCTCCACATTTTAATTTAGGAGCTAAAACGCTGTATAGGCATTCCTCTATTATTGTGTTTAAATCCTTAGCTAGCGCATTTTCAGTGGTTGAATAACTACCTTAAACTTAACTTATAATGTCCAATAATGAAAAATATTGCCATATAAGTATATGTGCATTAAGTTACTGAGTAACTGAATTCATAAGATGATTAATTCCAGCGATTTTCTAAAGTATTAATTTCTGGGGGAAATAAATTAATATAGTAACATATGTTGACGCAAATGTCGCTGTCTTACCACTTCTTTTCTGTTTAAGAATACATTTAAATATAACTTTGCTAATTACAGTGGATCAAGTAATGTTAATATTAACATCATTAAGTGTGAAGTCACGTGTGAGCGGCCCATTATTATTATATCAGTCTATTATTATTATTATTATTATTATTATTATTATTTGTTTACTACTTGACATTAGCTTAGGGAAAAAATAGCTTACTGGTGTGGTTTAATTATAGAAATTAGGCTTATTCACGAATGATTTAAGAGTCCTGACACACAATAATCCGACCCAACAACATTTCTTCTCTAATTGATTCGACTAGCTGAAGGCTACTGGCTACAAGCAAATAGCTAAATAGTTTTACCAGACTTTTACCAACTTCAAAAAAACGTTTGTACTTTTAAAAATGCAAAACCAAACAAGACAAAATAACCTTTTGACAATTCCCACACTAAAACTAAACAGTTCACTGCTCACCTGGTTGAGAGGCGTTGTCAGGACCTGGAGGAGGTACAAATGGCTCCATACACACTTACATACACATATCAGCGCACTTCAGTGTACTGGAGTAAGTGTGTTGTGAATTGAATTGAATCCATACAGACCTATAGTCTGTCCTATAGCTGTTCAACAGGTGGATTAATGCCGTTTTTGCTTTGCTCTGATTGGCTCCTGGACATTAAAACGGTCGCCAGTAACAGTGTGAGATCAAATCTGGGTCTGGACCTACCTGAAAAAGGAATCATTTTGCATTTAAAGCTTGGCATATATTAAACTGAGCCTAATAAATGTTAGACACATTTATTACTATCTGTGATAGCTGCTGAGAAATGTGACTTCCAAAACACTTTTATTTGTTTTTTGGCTTGTAGTTCTACATGTTTTGATACATAAATGCATCTCCCTGTTCACCAACAGATGTCAGTAATCGTCAGATAAAAGGGCCTGACCTACATAAAATTCATTATTGATTAGTCCACTGTCACTGGCCCTGTAAACTTCCATCTTGTACAGTTTTCACTCGAGGAAGATGAGGCGCCCCATCTAGTGGCAAGCCTGTGTAAGTGCATTTTTTTTAACCTGAAAAGGGGGAATGCTTGAAGAATAGACCTTTTTCGCAGCAGTCATTTTGACATTAGATAGTAGGGCAATCACAGGTTTTACCAATTATGCTTATTAAGGTTAGGTTTTTGTACCATTTAGTGTAGCAGGGCCTTTCCAGTGAGCCACCATGCACAATAACAGCACCCTGACTCTGTTGGACCTGACTGGAACAGAACCTTAATTAGTGTAATTCGTAACACCAGTGTTTACCCTACTATTTAATGTCAAAATAGCTGCTGTGAAAAGGTCTGTAACCCCCCTTTTTTGCACATGCTGCTTTTGTATTCCTCCAGATTTCCTCTTAAGCGTGCAAAATTCTCTAATATAAAATGCAAACTGTATTTATTTATTTATGTTATTTTACTCTAAGCATGACCCATTAAAGAGAGAGAGATATTCTCTTTACACTGCAAACGAGTGCAGTTACATGTGTGAGCTTTGGATAATCATGGTTCCATTGTATTATATCATATCAAGTTCCGAATATCAATATAATAAAGTCATGCAAAGATGATGACGAATGGAAAAGGGAGGGAGCATTGGTATGACCATGCAATTTCTTTTTTTCCAGTGTGAAGAGCAGCTTAACCACTCTGGAGAATGGAATTAATAATCCTTAAGAGTCTGCCCTCCAGACAGTTCCCGAGTGAGTGAGACAGAGGTGGAAAGTACTAGAAGGATAAGAGAGATAGATTGAGACTTACTTCCCATGTACTTTCTATATTTGAACAGGACAATGATAAAAAGCAGGGAGTTGGCCTCTTTAAATTCATTCATGTCAATGCCAAGATGTATTATTTCTGACAGGTATTGAATTCAAAAATCTCTCCCTCCATTACTCTTTCAAGAAGCTGTGAAAGAAATGAATTACCTCTAACTACCTGATCTCCACTGAGACCATAGACCTCACTGGGGAGGAGCAAGAACTTTGTATAGGCAGGTTGAGATTTAGACATGTTTGTACATGTCAAAAAGAAACCAGGGAAATCCAACTGATGTTAGGCAATTTGTCATCTACTGTATATTTCATCTTCTGTCTGTACAAGTAAGTCATTATTATCAACATAATTTACCTTTGTGTTCCGAGCAGCTCTCATAAACTCACAGACCCTCTTACAAAAAAAAGTTTGCTTCTTGTCATAAATCAGCACCATGCCAACTGTGGCCTACTAGGCCCCTCAAATGCCCATGGTTATGGTAAGACTGCCCTCCAGTGGCCATATGCAGGGACACTATCAGCCCAAAAGGTCAAGGCGGCAACATTTTTCCAACCAGTTCTGTGACATTGTTGAGAGTTTTCCATCAGACCTCACTGACAAGTACTGATCTGACAACTGCTGGAAATAGGTGTAACCGGG